GCTCTCCCTATCCTTATTGAAGATCTTGCCCTTGCGACAAAATTCATTCAGAGAGAGCATCCAGGTGTACCATACAGTGTATACTTTGCTATATCGCTCATTTTGGGTTCTCCATCCCTAATCGTTTCTCTAAGCACTCTCATCCCTATCTCTCCATTATCTTGCCTTTGCGACAAAATTATTCAGAGAGGCATCAGGGGTACAATACATGTGGATACTTTGCTATATCGCCTCATTTCGGTGTCTCCATCCCTATATCGTTCTCTAGCACTCTCTATCCCTATCTCTCGCACTTATCTTGCCTTTGCGACAAATTCATTCAGAGAGAGCATCAGGTGTACAATACATGTGTATACTTTGCTATATCGCCTCATTTCGGTGTCTCCATCCCCATATCGTTTCTCTAGCACTCTCTATCCCTATCTCTCGACTTATCTTGCCTTTGCGACAAAATTTTTCCGTGTTTGTGTTTGTGTCTACATTGGAACCAAATACTTGCGAAAAAGATACGTGAAATTCGTGCGAAAGTCTTTTATTAGTTTTGCTACTGATGGGACTCAAACCTCTACACAATCAAGTAAAATGCTGGCAGGCAAGATAGATGTACACAACCTACAGACACATTGAATGGAATGGCGCCATTGTTTATTCAGCAGCAGTAAGACATAAATGGCATTAATGGCACATTCTACAGTGGAACCACTCTAATCCAGACACCACAGTGGCAGAAGAAAGTGTCCATATTAGTGAGGTGTGAATAAGTATGTGTCCTTATGTAATAGTGAGGTGTCCTCATATCAGGGGTGTCCTTAGAGCTAGAGCTAGTTCCACTGCAGTGGATACAGTATAGTGGAGTAACATATGGACGTACAGTGAGCAGTGATATCAGCACTCTCTTGAAATGACCCGAAGTATCCGATGCAACGTCCTTCTCTACGTCTTTCCCATAGGCTGTGGGCGAATGAAGGGGGGGTTAATGGTTAATTAACATGCTTAGTTAGTGCCAAGGTTTCTATTCCACAAGTGTTTTTTTTCCCTTCACTTCTTTCCTTTCCTGCTTTCTCTCTCCATTATACATTTCCCTTCCTCCCTTCTCCGTCATTTTTATCTCTCATTCTTAGTACTTCTGCTCTTTCCTTTCCTTCCAACAACACTCAGACCTCAACCTTTCAGACCCCCGTGTCCCCCTCTGTTTCTGTCGTTTCTGGGCTCGGAGGCTCTCGTCTTATTTACCTCCTTGCCACCACACTCACTCCCATCCAGTCCTCTTTTAGCCACTCACTCCTCCTCATCACTCACTCCTCCTATGTCACCCCTCCCTTCTCCCTCACCCACTCACTCCCATCCATCCTCCCGATTTCATCCACTCCCTCCCTCCCACCCTCCCTCACTCCTCATTCCAGCGCTCACCTACTTACTAATCCCATCAATCCCTCTTAACACTCACTCCCTCCCTCATCCCTCGCTCCCACTACTAATTCCATCCATCCCTTTACCCACAACTCCCCTCCCTCCCTCAATCATTCACACTCACCTACTTACTAATCCCATTAATCCCTTCATTCCAAACTCCCTCACTCAATCATTCACTCGCTCACCTACTTACTAATCCCATCATCCCTCTTTCACCACTCCTTCCCTCCATCATTCAACTCGCTCACCCTACTTACTATCCCATCCATCCTCTTTCACACTCACCTCCCTCCATCATTCACCGCTCACATACTTACTATACAATCATCCCTCTTTCACACTCCTTCCCTCCATCCTCCCTCCTCTCCCTCCTGTCCACTCACTTCTCTCCCTCACCCACTCACTCCCATCCATTCCCTCTTCATCCACCCCTCCCTCCACCTCCCATCAGCTGCGTCATTCACTCGCTCACCTGCTACTATTACTAATCCATACATCCTCTTTCACACTCCCTCCTCCCGTCATCAGCTCGCTACCTACGTACTAATCCATCCATCCCGCTTCAACACTCCCTCCCTCGACTCCCGTCCCTCCCTCAACTCTCCGTGTCCACCACTTCTCTCCCTCACCACGCACTCCCATCCATCCCGCGGTGCATCACGACCCTCCGCCACCCGCATCAGCTCCTCAGGCACTCACGCGCACGCCGACTGTACTATCCCAGGCCATCCCTCTGGTCACACATCACGCCCGTCGCTCATGCAGCGTCGCGCACCGACGTACTAAGCAGCCATCCCTCGGGTCACCCGCCCTCACTCGCATCATGCACTGCGCGCACCGACTTGACTCATCCATCATCCTCTGTCACTATCAACGCCCTCTCATTCACTCGACTCACCTACTTACGAAGCCATCCATCCCTCTTTCACACTCCCGCACTCCTCAGTCACTCGTCACCTATACTAATCCATTCATCCCTCTTCACACTCCTCCCTCCTCATCACTCGCTCACTACTTACTAATCCATTCATCCCTCTTTCACACTCCCTCCCTCCCTCATTCACTCGCTCACCTACTTACTAATTCCATCCATTCCTCTTTAACCCACCACTCCCTCCTCCCTCCCCATCATTCACTCGCTCACCTACTTACTAATCCCATCCATCCCTCTTTCACACTCCTTCCCTCCCTCCCTCCCTCCCTCCTGCCCACTCACTCACCACTCTTGTACTGTTTCCTGAGGGCAATGATCTCCTCATTGCTACGTGTACAGAGGATCGCTATAAGAGTGCTCTCATCTGTGCCCAGACCCTACGAATAAACCCAACTCTTAAAGGAATGTGGTAGTAGTATATATACAAGGGCTAAATTTAAAAACTGTTACTATAATTATTGCATTATCTGTGCGCATTCGCAGCGAGTGTTACAGTACTTGGTGTGGTTTGCCTGTCCGTCTGTTATCGCTATTCCGCCACTATAGGCAACGAGGCGGCCAATAAGCACCACAAACAGCTTCGGAGCAACAGCAGCATGGTTTTAAAAATGGTGATTTCCCTGAAACCACTGCATTCGAGAGCTATGGCGTGAAACTAAAGTGAAAAAGTAAATTAGCAATGGCTTACCTTGACTAGCGCCTGCACTTCAACACGCTGTGTGGGCACAAGATTACTCAGGGGACGATTATCCAATCCAGCATTGCTCGAAACGCTAGTCAATAATAACTAGGAATGCGCACGCGCATATTTTGCCTCGCACCTGCCAGCCAATGCGTAAACAGTCCGACTGAGGCCGCTCGTGCGCGCGCTCTACTGACTGCGCGTGAAGCCAGACTTCCTACGAATCTGCGCGCACGGCGGAAGCTAGACTTCCTACGAATGATGAGTGACATTCCTAAGCGTGACTAATGACATCTTAAGCGTGACGACACGACGTACGTATATCGCGAGATACAACCCGGAGTAGTTGCCTCACGCTAACGCGCTAGTCAATAAGGCTAGCGTGAACTTAAGAGTGAAAACCGACACTGTCCGCGACTGCGTGGTGGCCAGACTATCATTAGCTCGCGTAGATGTGTAGTGCGTTAGTGGCAGGTGAGCGTCTTGGGGTTTGCACTTCATTGCTTGTTTTATGTCCTACATTATCCCTGATGTACTGTCACACTCCCTTTAAAAGCAATACAATAGGTATGCAGCAATTATCTGTGTGTGGAGTATCCGTTGTATTTCCACAGGAATGTTTAATAGCTAGAGAAATGGGTGCAATGTCGTAAAAGCAAAACGTCTGTATCCCATAGTGCAGTTGCCTGGCAAACTGTACAAGAGAATGTATGACTGATTTACTAAGTGCCCACACAGCTGCATACAGGTTTCCAGCTGAACATATATCTTTTCAAACCCTCACTACAAGAATGAAAAGCACTAAAGTGCAAACCTCTGCGACTGTGCATGTCCAGCAGAAAAGGTTCTGACTGTGCAGTTCACACAGTAGGAGAGCTGACTTGATGGCGTTGTAGACGGCAGCTGCGTCGTACTCTTGTGGAGTCATCATTAGTCCCAACACGACCTCTTCGAGATGTCCACTCAACTCACTCTTCACGTCAGATATCAGGTCCTGCAGTGGGATATATGTAACAGTGGAACCTCTAATGATGGGCACTTTATTTCTTTCTATCCAGATGCCGCACATACCAATAACAGACAGCCATTACACGTGTGTGCTCGCAAGCGAGTTCCAATTCTACGTGTCAGTAGTAGCTAGTATGTAACGTCTACGGTAGTCCATACGACTGTGGGAGCACCCTCTCGCTTCAGAAACACCCAAAAGCAGAGACACGCTTTCTCACTGCCGGGAGCGGCGACTAGACAGAGCTCAGCGTCTCCTTCAACCACAACACACCACGAGCCACAACATATGCTCCCTAGGCACGCTCACCAACAGCTGCACTATCCACAGTTGGGTCGCTCCCGCTCGCCAAAATGCCTAGCATTCCTCTAGTATAATTATATATAGTTCAAAGCACAGAGAGTTTGTGAGGTTTAAGGCTTATGTCATCAATGAGTTAGCAAGGCAAAGCAAAGGCAGACAACACAATTACACTGAAGACAACTCTCTTTCCCATGGAAACACACACTCACATGTACGTACGTACCCGACCAAACATTGACTTGAATTTGATCTTGATTTCTTGTCTCTGGTCACTGGAGCGGTAGGCCAGGACGCTAATGATGGCCTTCTCGTCCGTACCTGCACACACAATAGATAGAGGTCAGAGTTTACTGGTGAGGTGTGTGAGATCGATTACTGCACACATGTACAGTGGAACCTCAGATAAGGGACCCTCCGAGATAGGAACGACCTCTCTACAAAGGACACTTTTGTTTTAACCCCATGCTAACACTTTAGTGTATTATTTGACCTCCGAGATAGGAACGACCGCTCCAGAGTCATTGGTCCCATAGTGTCCCTTACTCGGAGGTTCAACTGTGTTAGAGACGAAGTAACATAGTATTAGCATGGGGTCGAAACAAGTGTCCCTTGTAGAGAGGTCGTCCTATCTCGGAGGTCAAATATACATCTAAAGTATTAGCATGGGGTTGATGAAACAAGTGTCCTTTGTAGAGAGGTCGTCCCTATCTCGGAGGTCAAATAATACACTAAAGTATTAGCATGGGGTTGAAACAAGTGTCCTTTGTAGAGAGGTCGTCCCATCTCGGAGGTCAATTACACTAAAGTATAGCATGGGGTTGCAGGTAGTATTAGATACACTAAGTATTAGCATGGGGTTGAAACAAGTGTCCCTTGTAAGAGTCGTCCCTATCTCGGAGGGTCCTTAGGGAGGGTTCCACTGTACAAACCTAGTCCCTTCATTGCGCTCCTCAGTTTCCTGGCATCATCCTCTGCACTGAATGGAGAGTGGGGCTTGACAGTTCCTCTCATAGGCACCTGGGGGAAATACAATTACATCATCATGATGTCAGATTTACACCGAATGTATTAGTGAGGCTAAATTAATGCTGCTATCGCTCTCTCTTCTTATCTAGTACGTCATCACCATCGATGGGTTAAAACCAGAGCGAAGGCAAACATCACACTACACCCAGGAAAATTCTTGTTCGAAAAGAAAAAGAGCCGCCCTAGGTGGGATTTGGACACTCTGCAGTCTAGGCGAGCGCTCTACCAACTGAGCTACCAGGGCAACTCAGCTGGTAGGGGTTCAAATCTACGACACAAGACGAAGGCAAACCTCATACTACTGTGCTATGGCACCACTCGTGGTTTTTTCTACATGTTCATGCAAAATCAACCTGTTTGGAAGCAGTGACAGAAGAAGAAGAGGAGGAGGATGAGGGGGGCAGGGGATTTAGTTGAAGAGGTGGTCTTCTGCTGACTGCTAACACTCGTAGCTGCCATCTGGTCAGTTGGTGGAGGCTGCAACTGACATAGCACCTTTTCTGAGTACCAAGTCTTCACAAAGCTTCACAAATGTGGTCTGTTCGCCAAACTTTGTGCATAGTTTGGGGTTTCACAAATTGTTGTTGTTGTTGTTATACGTTTCACGTTTTCGGCCAACTTTTTTGTGGTGCATACTTTTTGTGATCTTTCACGGGCACGTATTGGTCTGCAATAATTCAAGTTCCATAAAACGGTATAAGTAACTGTTATATCTTGCGTAAATGTACAGCAGTTCAATGGTTACTATAATTATATCAACTGTAGAGTGTGTTTGCTGCACTCGCTTCCGAAAATGCACCCATTCTAAGGTAGCCATGTCCAGTTATCCTATCACCAATTGGCCTGCTGGAGGTGTGGGATAAACTGCTCACAGAATGGGACTGGCGACTTTGGACCAGTTTCTTGGTTGTGCTGAATCAGCGGTCACACGACCACCGACCAATCGTAGCATGCAGTTAAAAAATCGTGGGCGTGGTCTCAGTTCGAAAATGCATGTGATTGCTGATTCAGCACAGTCAAGAAACTGCTCCAATGTCACCAGACATTTTGTGAGTGGGGTCTGGGGATGAGACTAACCGGGGGAGGCTGGGACGGGTAGCCACCCGAGGGAGGCTGGGATGGGTAGCCCCCCGGGGGAGCCTGTGGGGTCGAATATTGCGAATAGCCCCCCAGAGTCGGCTGAGGATAACCCCCGGGAGTAGGCTGCGGAGTAAATCCCGCCACTGATGGGATAGGTTGTGGAGTAAACCCTCCAGCTGACGAGGGATAACCACCTCCTTGCGGTGGCGAGGTAAATGGAGCTGGAGGGAGTCCGGAGGGGTACTGTGAGGGGGCCGGGGGGCCAGGGGGGTAGGTGGTGGAGGGAGGAGGAGGGTAGGTGGAGGAGGGAGGGGGAGGGTAGGTGGAAGGTGGGGGTTGGAAGGAGGGGAATGGTGGGTACGAAGGACCGACGCCCTGGGAAGGGTATCTTGGTGCCGGAGCTGAACCAAATCCTAGTTCTGCACAGGGAAAGGCAGAAACAAAGAGAAAAATAATACACAGAAGTGTCGCGATGGAGTTTAAATGCGAGCAAACCGAGCCTTCCTAGTTGTCTGAATTCGACACTTCCCACAAGGTAACGACGAGGTAGCAAGGCAAAGGAAAAGGCAAAGCAAACAAGTCAACGTCTGTGATTCTAAATATACGCCGCAAAATGAACTGCTCCCTTCGCTGGCCTAAAAATGTGTTCTGCATTCGTTCTAGTATGAACGACTTTCTACATAATGCTCAATGCTCGACCTTCACCCCCCTCAGCTCCGAGATGATTATTTCACTCCTATAGGGCACTATATACCGAGGAATAGCGGTAAAAATCTAATGCGAGTTGAAACTCACGTCCTCCTCCTCCGGGTGTTGGCATGGACGGTGGCTGGGAGGGGTAGGGAGCAGGGCCTCCTCCTGGAGCCCATGGAGAAGACTGCCAAATGAATCATGAATAATTCATGATTCTACAGATCGATTTTCCCCAATGCAGCGACTTACCTGCTGCGGAGGGTACCCCCCTACTAATCCAGACGGTGGAGGATAACCAGGATACCCTGGATTTGGCGGAGGATAGGCCATGACCGTCGACGCGACCCTAGAACATGCGGTCCCGATCACGGTGTCGCGTCTCGTGGGCGGCGCGGCGGGGAATGTAAACCTACCTATTTGAGCGTATTCCGGATGATGTGCGCATGCGCGTTTTTTACGTCAGGATATTGAAATTTCGTGGTGGTATAATATACATGGTGGGGCCGGGCGGCGGGCATGGAGTGTGTGTAGCCTAGCCTTGAGATCCATGTCTTGGTGCCAGTCGCAGACGTTTAAGACCTGGTGGTGGCGCGTGCTCACGATAATAGTCCTGGTGATTGCCGTCAACGCCTTTATCAGCTTCCTTCACGCCAGACTACACCCGTCCCACTGCACCCGGTCCACGGCCGTCCCTTTCCGCCTCCAGCTGGCGAATCTGGAGCTGCTGACGGAGCCCAAGGCGCTCTACCTGAGTGTGGACACCCCGCTCCTGCCGCTCTCAGACAAAGACCTTGTGCTCCGCTCGGCCTACGTCAATCCTCGCCTGGAGACGTCTCATGGACACGCCAACTCTACCATCATCCTCATTGAGATCAGGAGGAGCCTCATCGAACAGGGAGCCATCGAGAGATGTGGGGTCGGTCCATACTCTAGCACACAGTTTGAGGTAAGTACAATTTGTAGGAAATTTGAACCTCTACCAGTTGCCCTGGTAGCTCGGTTGCTCCAGCACTCGCCTTGCCGGTAGGGTGCCGTGGGTTCGAATCCTTGTCTGTTGTGCCTTTGCCTTTCTATCTCTTAGTTGACATACATGTAACCTTAGCTTGTAGAAAATGTCCATGAAAACCACGCTCCCAAATTCCCACTGTAGGAGTTGGGCGAGGATGAGTGTTTTACACTTTTATTCAGGCGTGGACTCCTCCATGTGCATTAGCTCTGAGTCGCTTTATTACTGTAAACTGTCTCAGCTTGCTCAATAACAGTAGCAGGTTTCAACCCCCATAGCCGCAATGTAGGATCAGTTACTCGGGAGAGTGCATCACTTGTGAAAGACAAATATTTGAGAAGTCCTAAAGTAGCCCATTTGTAGCTGTCCCCTCACAGGTTGAGAAGTCCTAGAAGAGAATAATATTATGGTAGCATGTTTCTTGCAGGATTAACACAAGAATGAAGCTTAAGATGCTACCGATCCTAAACGTTCTCTCTCTGTGCGTCCCTTGCAGGTGGTTTCAATAGAAGACAAGAACTGCAGTTCAAAGACGTTCCAACACACTGTGGGACTCCTCTACTGCTACGACGTCCGAGCCGACCACCTGGACACGGCGTGGATCAGCTACACCAAGCCGATATCCGGAGAGAAGGCAATCTTCACGGCGAGAGCAGAGCAGCCGGTCATACACAACTGGAAGACTAACGGTGCCGGGGAGGTAGTTGTGTGCGCTGCCATGCTCCCCCACTACACCCCCTTCGTGGAGGACTGGCTCCGCTACCAGAAGACAGTCGGAGTGGACCACGTCCACCTGACTCTCGAATCGCTCTTTCTCAACCAGGGAAAGTTCGACGAAGAGTTTCTTCAGACGTCTGTCGAGGACTTTTACCTGAGCGTGACGTTCTGGCACCGCTGGTTGAATGACACTGACATATGCGACCATTCCCTGGATCTAGCACTGTTTGACTGTGTCCTCCGGTTCCAGCAGACCTACTCCAACATACTGATTGCGGACCCCCGGGATTTTTTTATTCCGTTAGAATCTGACAGTCCCACCGCGACGCTTCCTTCTTTTCTCTCTCGTTGGTGCCCCGGTGACACACACTGTCAATTTGAGCAGTGGAACATGATCTACAAGGACTGTAAGAGTGCCGGGGAAGATGGAAATGTAACTGCAGTTCGTCTCTGCAAAACGTGTTGGAAAAAGAAGTGGATACCTGTCAGTGTACAAGTCTGCATTACTGCCTTACAACATCAACGAGCCTGGATTGCCTCAAGTAGATCCTGACAGTGCCGGCGTGAAGAAGAAGAGGGTGAAAGTGAAAGTCGTGCCGGCAGAGAAAGGGTACTTTGCTCGACTCTTGAAACATGAAAAGTTTTCAAATGTCAGAGTATTACCCTATGATGAGCATTGTTAGTATTTATTCAATAACTCATCTGTTCACTCAACTAATAAACTTACAGAACGACCTTATTTAGTCTGCTAAGACAACAAACCTACATCATGAACTATATATAGGTATTTTCACTATCCAGCCTGGTTCAAGGCAGGGCACTTCATATTACTACGCATGCGCCTACGTGGGCGCGACCGCTATATGTCACACGTACGTACGTCGGCATGTCGTCCACTGGACTTATATAGCGATACGCTGCCCGATTGAGTATGGTTGAGGCTCGCGGACTTCCTGGAAAGAGGAGGACAACCGACGAGGCTGGCATTGACGTGACCGTCGCCTTCCGCGACCTCCTCCCCAGGTCCTGTGTGATGCGGGTGGAGACTTTTCTGTGTCCACGCTCTGGGAACCTGGTGAGAACCCTGGAACTGTACTTCGACGGCCCCTTCGGCTCCCTGCGGGCGTGAAAGCGACTGACAGTTAGCGTGGCGGGGCTGGAAAGGACCCAGGCTGAACAGAACAGGCGAAGCATCTCGTCCGTCTCATGCGCGCCACCGCTCCAAGCCGCGAATCAGAGCGCTAAGGAAAGGGGACAAGAGAGATAAAGATCGTCGCGAGGCGAGACGTCAGGTGGCGGAGAGAAGGGATTGTCTTTTGTCTTTGCGGTCTGGCGGAGCACACAAGAGACCGTCGCCAGACTTAGAGATGGATGGCCAGAGAAAGCGTTCGTGGCGGGTGCCCGCGTCCGGCGACTGGTATCCGCGCTTCATGAGGAGGGTGGGGGGTGACGGCTCGGTCACCGACTTAGTCGTGACGCTGCTCAGAGCAGTAGCTATGCTGGATTAGTGGATCGATGTTACCCGGCCCTTCATGGGCAAAATTGAATTGGGCGTGGTTGTAATTAAATGTACGCATGCGCATATTGGTCCGAGATTACATATACCATCGCCTGATAGATGCAGTGTGGTCTTTGGCAGACTCACTGTGAAAAAGCCGAGTGCATTCCTGTGATTTCCGATAGGTGACAGACTGGCATTGACTCTGAGTAAGTGGCTACAGACTGGCATTAACGGTGATAATGTTTGTCTGACATGACCCTCAGAGGTTATAGGTAAGGAGGAGAAGAGGGTGTTTGATGCTTATTGTTGAGTAATCAGGATGCTGGCTCAAGGCTATGTTCTCTCTCAAGTTTTACTTTGAGCACACTATAATACTATCTACTCAAGTTGTAACATTTTGCTTCTGTCGTAGAGCAAGAAGACTACTGATCTACAAATTCGTACAGCAGTGCAGATAATGCCTGAATGCAAGCCACAGACGAAAGTTACAGTAGCTATAGTAAGGGTATGTAATGTTGGGGAAGAACATGGCAGTATCTCAGTTAAACGCTCTAATAGTGCATGTATTTAAATGTGATTTCGCTTTCTTTCGCATCCAAATACAGTAGTACCCGTAAAAAAAATTGTCACGCTAAAGTAACAGTAGCACTCCTGTAGGCGGGATTTTGCTTAGTGAACTGTGGTTGTTCGCTGGATCATTTTCTATTATTATTAGCTACATGATCTAAACATTCATGCCTCGAAGATTTGTTGTCTGAGCTTTTTGCACATAATCAGCCAAAGTGTCAGTTTTGATATCCAGTATTACTTCTCCCATGTCACCGGTGTTGGGCTTCTCGTAGCCGTAGCTCTCAGACAAAGACCTTTTGCTCCTGCTCGGCCTACGCCAATCCTCAGCTGGAGACGTCTGTAAGAGTGCCGGCGAAGATGGAAAGTAACTGCAGTCGTCTCTGCAAAACGTGTTGGAAAAAGAAGTGGAACCTGTCAGTGTACAAGTCTAGCATTACTGCCTTACAACATCAACGAGCTGGATTGCCTCAGTAGATCCCTGACAGTGCCAGCGTGGAAAGAGAAGAGGGTGAATTGTGAAAGTGAAAGTCGTGCCGGCAGAAGAAAGGGTACTTTGCTCGACTCTTGAAACATGAAAGGTTTTCAAATGTCAGAGTATTACCCTATGATGAGCATTGTCAATAATCATCTGTTCACTAAACTTACAGAACCACCTTATGTAGTCTGCTAAGACTAAACAATAGGTATATATTTCAGTATCCAGCCTGGTTCAAAGGCACTTCATATTACTACGCATGCGCCTACGTGGGCGTCACCGCCAAAGCACAATAATTATAATTAATATATACAGAAAATTCCGCCCGAAACGAACGACTAGGTTGGCATGAGGAGGGCCGGGGGTGGCGGCGGGGCACCCGCTTATGTACGCGGCTTCAGAGCCGTAGCTACGCCTGACGAAACTCTCAGTGTAGTCTAGTAGTCTTAGAGCTAGCTAGCTGCGGGTATGTGATATACGCATGCGCAATTGGGGCGTGGCTTGATCATACGGATCCTCCCTTCTCCCTGAGCTCCTGACCGCTCCCCTCTCGACTCCCCCGCAGGAATCCATGAGTACTGAAGGTGAGCGCACTGCAAGCAGTCCTGTAATTTTGGAGAATCCTCTTCGGCGAAACAAAGAGCAGCTTTGCAGAGTGCTGTTGCACGTCCCGGCTTTTTTTTACCTTGACTCTCTCCTTACTCTGCAGCTCGCAAAAGGGGACCCTGCGCGACCTACTATAGGGCTAGAACCAGCTTAAACTACCATGGTGTCTATGTGTGATGTGCATCCCTGGCTCGCCAACCCATCGCATTCATAGTAGTAGAGCCAGCAGAGGCGAGTGCTAGGGAGGAGGAGGAGAGGAACGAGTGAGGGGGAAAGAGGGGGAGGGGATCGGCGTACTGGATGTGAGTGAAGGCGGATTCTCCTCTGCTGATCATCATTGGACTAGCTCTGGAGAGGCTGAGTCATGGTAGGCTATATATCTTGTCGAGACCCTCACTGACTCCAAATTGTAAGCCGAGTCTCAGACCATGCTATATTATACTATACATGTAGCTTTGGCAGATTGCTCACTATTGTTGTTCAATTATTTCAGGAGCAGTTATTTAGTTGATGGTGTGATAGCAGTTCTCCGCATCAAAAATCTATGAAAGTTCTCAGTACGTGCATTAGGATTTAGGATTGTATGTGACTAATGGAGGAGTGTAGAGTACGGTGGGGCTGATCAGATTATCATCTCTGTCCAGTGTGCAGCGGTCTTCCTCGCTTTCATCTGCTCCTACACCATCCCACACTACACCATCAGCTGCGGAGGAAGAAAAGTCAGGTACACATCTTATAGTATGTATATGCACCAGTTTTGCAGAGAGGTGTCGGGTGGGGTTTTTTGGAATCATGGAAGCTCTTGTGCGCTTACTGCTGCTCCATTACCACGCTGTCTATAGTGTGGTCATTGCTTCATGCAGAATGCAAGGTGATCAGTGGAGCAAAGCCTCTGATAACTGCTCTAAAGGACCTTTCTCGTGGAAGGAGCTCGGTTGGCACTGGGCGTCCAGTCGGAGGAACTGGGAGCCTCGAGAAGGATAACGAGGAGGCGGAGCTGAAGAAACGAGGATGCTGCGGACGTGGTACAGTCAGTGAGAGTGGTGCCTGTTGGGACAAGCTGGTGGAGGCTCTGGTGGGGCTGGGGAGAGCTCTTTGGCTCAGGAGATGCCCGTGCCAATGGGCTCAGCAGTGACTCTGTTTAGAAAGAAATTCTATTTATTTGGTGTTTGGTTATTTTACCTCATATCTATTTTATATGGCCAATAATAATAAAATTATGGTAAAAACATGCGCTTACGATTTGGCGAGCGAGTGCAAGCAGTTCAATATTTGATTGGAGTTAGACAATAAGTCTAAACTAGGTTAACAGGAGAGCGCAGAGCGCCGCCCCGGATACGACACAAGTCGCGGGAATAGAGCGGGAAATAGTAACCAATCACACGCTAGTATCCGTCAACCAATCAAATGCAAAAGAGGGATAGCAACGTCATGGTAGGCGTAACCTAGGCATCTCTGGTCAGTCAAGCAAACGAGACCAAGCAAACAAAGCTTCTCGCCGCTCTGTTCGCGCGTCAGCCTGCTGTGCGTTCAACTCGACGTCATTTTGTCATCCGACTCATGAGAACGATGGCGTACGTTCGTCTGCTGCAAATTTTTCCACGGCCGGGGCCGTTGTACCCATCACTACAGCGACAGGTGGAGGCGCAGTGGTTCCCGCAACCCCTCCTACCGGTAAGAGTTCGGCTTAGTGAGATGCGGAGAGTTGTGTTAGGCTCTCTTTGTGGCTGGGCAAGCGCTGCGCGGCAGTGCAATGGTTGGGGAGCACCGCAGCAAAGATAGCAGCGTTGACATGCAGGAGCCAGCAGTTTTTTGCAGAGGCGGTAGCCGCCCCGACTAAATGGGTGCTTACAGCACCACCAGTGTCTCGACGATCTGGGGACGAGCTCGGGCCCGCTGACAAGTTCAGTGCGAGTCAAGTGCGAGCTTAGGCCTCGGCGGTTCCGCGTGTGGTGAGGTGGTGCGGATGCTATGTGGATCCGGTGGCACACAGTAGTGGTGGAGAATTGTGCATCTTCGTGTGCTAGGCGCGCAGGCTTGCAAAGCCTCTGTTTTTAAAAAAGCCCGCGTCGCGGGGCGGCGCGCGTTATGCGGGCCGGCGCGGCGGCCGGTCGGCCGGCTGCGTGCAGGCGGCGGGGGCGTAGCTCGACGGGCTCGCTCGGCGTGCAGCGTGTGGTGCTTATGAGCTGTTCTCTTGCTGTTTGCAGTGGCAATGGGAGTGATGCCGGCTAGCATTCCGCCAATCCGGCCGGATGGCAGCCACAAACACCTCGACACAGCCCCTCGCATGGTCTTGGCGACCGTGGTGTGCAGCCAGCAGGACTCATGGCGACACGTGTTCCCCAGCATCGACGGTAACGGTGCGTGCGGCGGTGACACGCCACGCGGTACCACTCCGCAGTGGTTCCCGTGCTCCCGGCGGCACTGGCGACAGGGGTTGATCCGACAGCAGCACTGTCAGGGCCGCTAACGATGGCAGCATCCACGCCGAGCGGCACTCCGGTTGGCACTCATGCTACGGTGCCGGTCACCAGCCAGTTGCTGGGGGAGGGTTTGGCGCCGTTACTCCAAAAGCTAGTGAAAAAGATCATAAGCTTGGAGTTCGTTGAGATGACTGACCTCCTTCCGGAGGCATGGCTGCTGGAAGAGACGGCCATGGAGGCCCAGTTGCGGCGGCAGCGGGGCCCAGTGACCGACATCCTCCAGTGGGTGCAATGCTTCGCCACATTTGTGAGCACATTGACTATGGTGTATCCGACGAAGACACCTGAGCTGATGGCGTACATGGCCTGCATTGTCCGGTGCCATAAGGACTATGAGGGCCCGGCCTGGGTTCTGTATGATCGAGCATTTCGCCGCAGAGCCGAGGTAACAAAGGACCTCAACTGGTCGGTGGTCAACATATCTTTATTCAACCTATGCTTTGGGGGGAGGGCTCGCCGTCGGGGCATCTGCCAAGTGTGCCTAAGTGAACAGCACACAGCAGAGAGGTGCCCTCGGCGGGTGCTGGCAGTGGGAGGCACACTGGCGTACTCGGCTGCGGTCCATCCGGGCATGGCGTACGCTCCGGCTGGCATTCCATCGTCATACCCGCCATCTCCGCCACAGGAGATTTGCCGGCTGTTCAATGCCCGGGGTGGGAACCGATGTAGGTTCCAGCAGTGCAAGTTTGCACACATGTTACCGGTGCAGGGCTTCAGGCCATGGTGCTGCACAGTGCACAGCTCCTGGAAGGAGCGACAACTTTGGAGGGAAGCGCCCTCGGTTGGGGTAGGAGGACGTTCTACTACGATGCAGACAGCAGCCCTCGATATGGCTCTTGCGGACGTACGAGTAGAGCTATGTAGTTGTACATGAACTTGTAATGCATCTTATACTGTCAGACAGTGTACCATGAAAGATTACTCCTTATATGTGGCATAGCGGTGCCGGGAATTAATAGGGTTGGCATAAGGGAACGCGATAAGGGGGTAAAGGTTAGGGGAAGGTGTGAAAAAAAAGGTGTGACCACTCTAGCCTGTCTTTGTCCACTAGTCCGCTAGTGTGACCGAGGTGCAGCCTCATGTCAGACATGCTGAGGGTCAACCTCTCATCGTAGGTAGGATAGAAAGAGGTTCCGAGGCTATGCTTGTTTACACGCACACACATACCCTGTAGGTGGATATCAGTACACTGCAGATCTGCTGGCATTAGAGCAGCAGGGAACATCGACGGAAAGGTCTGTTGGCCAGGTGGGGGCTATAAGCAAAGTCACGACCCCGTTCATTTTGACAGAGTGGGAGGCCGCGTTGCAAAGGCACCCAGATCAGGTTTACGCACAATACCTCCTCAGGGGGCTGCGGGATGGGTTTCGCATCGGTTTTGACCGGCAGCAAGCACTCAAGTCGGCCCCAAAGAATATGCGTTCTGCGGCAGAGCACCCAGAGGTGGTATCGGAGTACCTTGTTGGAGGTGGCCGCGGGCCGAGTTGTGGGTCCTCTGCCAGAGGAGGTAGGGGTGGCATGGCACGTGAGCCGGTTCGGGGTGATACCTAAGCCACATAAGCCAAACAAGTGGCGGCTGATTGTTGATCTCTCTTACCCGCCTCTCCATAGTGTCAACGATGGAATTGATCCGGAGTTGTGCTCATTAAAGTACACCAGAGTTGAAGAGGTGGCGAATGCTGTGATGCAGCTGGGAAGAGGTGCAGAGCTAGCAAAAGCAGATGTAAAGGCGGCCTATAGAATAGTGCCAGTGCACCCCCAGGACCGCTACTTGTTGGCCATGCGGTGGCAGGGGAGTATGTACATCGACACAGCTCTGCCTTTTGGGTTGAGGTCGGTGCCAAAACTGTTCAACGCAGTGGAATGGTGTGCACAAGGATGCAGGGGCTGAGTTTCTGTGGCACTATTTGGATGACCTCATCACAGTCGGCAGGGCTGGCACAGGGGAGTGTGAGCTGAATATCTCGATTTTCAACCATGTCTGCAGGCGATTAGGTATCCCGTTGGCAGCAGATAAGTGTGAGGGGCCGGCTACCTGCCTCAGATTTCTCGGAATAGAAATCGACTCACAGGAGATGGAGCTTCGCCTGCCAGCCGAGAAGCTGCAAAGGTTGCGCCAAGAGATTGGGTGCTGGGCAGGTAAAAAGTCATGCGCAAGGCGGGAGTTGCAGTCTTTAACCGGGCCACTTGCAGCACGCAGCCACCGTAGTGCGGCCAGGGCGGACCTTCATCAGGAGGCTCTATGACCTGGTGGCGGTAACTAAAGCAGCACATCACCATGTTCGGCTGAACTCCGAGGCGCGGTCGGATCTGGCCTGGTGGGCTACCTTTCTGGAGTCCTGGAATGGCATATCGTTGGTGTCAGCAAGTCAACAGCAGGTCCCTAGGCACGTGGTTGTGTCAGATGCATCTGGGTTATGGGGTTGTGGGGCATACTATGCCCAGGAATGGTTCCAACTAGAGTGGGCAAGTTCAACTTTGGCAGGGGCTTCAATAGCGGTGCAAGAACTCATCCCTCTGGTAGTGGCAGTGGCATTATGGGGCTCGGATTGGAGAGGGGACGTAGTGTCATGCAAGACCGATAATGCAGCAGTGGTGGCAGTAATAGCAACCAGAACGTCTCGGGACAAGCACATTATGCAGTTGCTCAGGTGTCTCTTTTTCCTGGAGGCAAAATACGATTGTCACCTGGTGGCATCTCACATACCAGGGGTGCACAATGAGCTGGCAGACCATCTGTCACGTAATCGATCGTCTCTCTTTCTGCAGCGGGCCCACCCCTCTACATCCCAAACCCCTCGGTTCGTCCCCCAGGAGCTGCAGGCTCTGGTGTTCAGTCAGCAGGACTGGACCTCTGCAGCCTGGAGGAATCAGTTCAAGAATATTTTCAGGAGGGCATAGCGCCAGCCACAGGCAGAACATATGCAGCAGGTATAAAGAAGTACATAGCTTTCTGTTCTCTCTACGGCATCCAAGACCCATTAGACGTCACGCAAACTACTCTCTGCTACTACGTTGCTCATTTAGCTAACACAGGCTTTGCCTTCTCCTCCATAAAGACGTATCTATCTGCAATCAGATATTTCTTAATCTCCAACGATAGGCCACTTACGTCAGTCGCCACCACACCTAAGTTGCAGATGGTGTTGTCAGGTGTTCAGCGAGTTTTATCAAGGGTAAAGGCGCCTCAACCCAGGCTCCCAATTACACCTCCAATTCTTCGCCAATTGCGATCGGTTTGGTCAAGGGAGGTACACAACTACGACCATATCCTGATATGGGCAGTTTGCTGCGTCAGTTTCTTTGGTTTCTTTCGGCTGGGCGAACTGATACCAAGCTCGGTGTCAGCGTTTGACCCAGCCATGCACATGCTGTTAGCCGACGTGGCTGCCGACTGCCCGAGCAGGCCAACACTGATCTCGTTGCAACTGAAGCGGGCCAAGACAGACCAGTTTGGTAGAGGCGCCACAGTATTTCTCAGCCGCTCAGACAGCGACGTTTGCCCGGTAGCAGCACTGCTCGCGTACATGGCCGTCCGGGGACAACATCCAGGTCCACTTTTCAAGGGCTCGGATGGGGCACCTCTGGCGAAGCCGTGGATGATTGGCAAGCTGCGGGAAGCTTTGGCAGAGGCTGGGCACGATCAGCAGATGTATGCGGGACATAGCTTTAGAATCGGAGCTGCCACGACCGCAGCAGCAGCTGGCATTGAAGATTCCACCATTCAGGCGCTGGGGAGGTGGTCGAGCACGGCGTTCTTATCGTATATTCGACTGACCCCACAGGAACTTGCACTAATTTCAACCAGGATGGCAGCAACATCACACCAAACCCCAAGCACGAAATGACCATATACACCGTGTTTGCCCTAAGACATAATATGTGTATAATTTACTGTTCGTTTTGTGATTGCTTTTAAAGTTTGCTAGAGGGGGTCAGGGCATGGTGGCTAGAACCCAGGCAAGGATATTGTTCACTTGGGTGGAGGAAGGCTTGGCCTTCCCCCTTGGACCATGACTGGTGTCGGATACCGACTCCAGCATGCCACCCAAGCGCACAATATAGTGCATGGATCGACTGAGCACACACACTCATGTTAGCGCTCACCTTCATGGGCAAAGGCCATTGCACAATCGGGGGAGCACACCCGAGTATATAGAGCCGGCAGTGTTAGCGCAGTAGTGTGGTAGTCCGTGCGGGATAAAGAGCGCCTGGGTCAACATGCCTCCAACACAATAAACAATATAGGACACAGTGAACGAGCCACACCTCTCAAGCACTTGCAGCAGGTTCAGCCAGCAATCACGTGCGATCCGTAGTTAAATGGAGTTTAGACAATAAGTCTAAACTAGGTTAACAGGAGAGCGCAGCGCCGCCCCAGATACGACACAAGTCGCGGGAATAGAGCGGGAAATATAACCAATCACGCGCTAGTATCCGTCAACCAATGAAATGCAAAGAGGGATAGCAACGTCATGGTAAGCGTAACCTAGGCATCTCTGGTCAGTTGAAGCAAACGAGACCAAGCAAACAAAGCTTCTCCCACCCGCCCTCCCATCCATGATATCACCTTCGGTGTCCACTGCATAGTGTGACCAGTGTTGACCTCAGGTACGATTGGCAGCAAAGAGTGGACCGTTACCAGCAATCGCGGACATTACAAGAAAACATGCCTCTGGAATGTAAAAAAATCCGCATGCGGGGTGAAATGTATGGAGTTCATGGGAACAATAACTTTCCCTTGACAGTCGTTGCTTGATGTCTACCACCTCCGGAGAGGTCCAACGTCTAGACGTCAAGAACGGACGACTCCCCTCCACCGAGCCAAGACAAATATTCACCGTGGAGCAGCTAGTCTTTCGGCCAACTACATCTCCCGCACCGCTGCGTCCCCCCATTGAACCGTGGACCTTTTGAATGAAACTTCAATAATCCGTGTGGGTCTAAATAATAGTTAGACCTATTCGAGGTAAACTATCGCGCAGTAGAAAGCCGAGAGCCGGCATTGGTGGCGCCCGAGCGCAGCGAGGGCGCTACCCCACTCCCTTGGCACGAGGCTTCAAGACCGGCGCGTGGTTACCGAGGAAATTGAGCGTCTACTATTTTAAGTGAGCAGCTTCACGTTGAGCGCGCGCTGGCTTTCCTGTTCGTTCGTATGGCGGAGCGCTTCTAACGATGCTCGATGGAGGTAGGCTCAAGCGCCAGAAAATCAGTCAATAATAGCGAAGCGGCAAGACATCGTACGCGCGGTAGCGACTCCTATCCTCATCCTCCGCCTTCTTGTTCTCGCGACGGTCCTGCGCGTGCGCGTGGAACGACGCGTCACGTAGATTCAGTTGTTGATTTTGTTGTTTTACGGTACATTTGTTTTTTGTTATGTTTTCTGATAGGTAATTACATAACTATGTGAAGGGAGGTTGGGAACACTGGTGTGTAGGGAAAGTTGGGCCCATAAAAAGACCTTTAAAACTAACCTACCTCCCCCCCCCCCCCCCACCCCCCCCCCCCCCCCCCCCCCACCCCCCCCCCCCCCCCGGTTCTCTAGGCTGGGCAACCCAGGGTCCTGCCTCTTTCTTCTGTTTATATGTTATTGTCGGTGTTTTTTTGTACCTTTGGTATGTTATTGTCTTGTTTATTGTGTGGCTTTGGTGGGGGAGGTTCTTTCTTTTCCTCTGAGCTAGTATGCTATAAACATGTTTTTTCATGGAATGTACATTTTACATGTAAATTCAGTAGGTTTACTATTTGCTGTAGTAAACCCCCGTCGAGGTTTACTAACTACGGGAAGCATACCACAACTTCTCTCTCTGGCACCACGAATTTATAAAGCTAAGTTGAGCGAGCACTTGTGTCTTTTTAACAACTCAGGTATACCAGAACTAGGCCACGGCCTTCCCTTCCCCCTCTGGCCTTTCGCTCCGCTCCTTTGTTTTTTTTTACGACTATGAAGATTCATCCCCACAAGGCACTGCTCAGGCTACCTGGAGCGCAGCGCTTGTGGTTCTGAACTAATGAGATTCATCCCCACAAGGCTTTGCCACTGGTATGTGCTGACCTGCCCAGACATTCGTGGTTTGGAGCCTAGGCCCCTCCCCACTCCTGCTGGTCAAGGTCAGCACCGAGGCAAAACCCGAATTCAAAATACTGGCATAGTGGATTGGGCCGCGGCAATGAAGCCGGCAAGCACCCATAACCTGCCAGTGCATACACATGTAGAAAATACCATGTGATGCCAAGAGAAGAAAGATGCGGAGCTCTGGACAGCTGTTTCGGGCTGGTTGGCCCTCATCAGCAGAGTATACCGCAACTTCTCTCTCTGGCATCACGAGTTTATAAAGGCTGCCATGAGCATGCACGGGGTAAGCAAGCGGGCGTCTATGCACTCCGCATGCAAAGCAGCAAAGTGCCTGTCACTGTGCAATGCTAGCTGTGGGGGAAAGTGTTGGGCTTCAAATGTGGCTACTCTCTTGAACGAAAAGCACTGAAGTGCAAACCCTCGGCGCATTGTGACGCGCACGCGTAAGTATACGCATGCGCAGTACCACTAATTGATGGGCTGGGTTTAGTTTTAGCTGGTACTGGTGGTCTCTTGCCAGCTCGCGCAGAGTCTGACGCGGGCTAACTACACTACTAGATAGCATGCGAGAGGCGATACACGCCCTGCGTTGCATCTTCTGGTTCCTCCGAGGTACGCAGAGCACGCGGATCGATTAGACCGTGGTAAGCCGTTGTGTATTTGCATATTGGCTTTTTCGCGCTGTAGTTTTGCAACGGAGCAGTTTCAGAGAAAACCCCACGTATTTTCTGACCTTCGTCGCCCGTTGGGTAGATGGTATCGTTTCTGGGACGAACAGACGTTCGAGGAGTGAGATATAGACTAACAGACAAACAGACAGACAGACAAACCCAACTACAGTACCCTCGCTGCGCATGCGCGCCGAGGGTAACTAGTGTCTACTCTTAGATGACAGGAAAATTGTGACAAAAAGGGGAATTTGCAATACAGGCAAAGAATGTAATTTCCACTGATTGCTCTTTTAGAAGGATCAATCTAAGGCTACAGTAAAATAATGAGTATAGAGTGATGCAGTGAAATGGCACACTTACGGGATATTGGGGAGTGAGTGTCTCCGGATATCCGTGTCTCCTGCAAAGAAAGAGAGAGGGAGGGAAAGAGACAAAAAGAGAGAGTTACACAGGTGTGGTGTATATTGCATAAGCCATTAGCTGCATTATGAGATTGAAACACCAAGTGTGACTTACAAAAAATTTCATGACACTCCAGAGTGAGAGAGAGAAGGCCCGAGGGATAGGCTGAGTTTAGTAGTATCTGTTACAGTACTTTAGTACCTCACAGGCGTCTTTTCAGTTTGGTTATCCCAGGTCTTGACATCTGTCGGCAGTTGAGTTTCTTCTGAGCAGGGATGAGGATCCTCAGCGGGACATCGTGCGGAGTGATGGACGACACAGAGTGAAGAACTGGCCGCAGGGCCCATGTCTTATAGGCAAAAAACTGGTTTTACAAGTAGGAAACTGGTATTACCAGTTATGGCATGTGCCGGATGTGTTGTAGCCTGTACTCAATGTTGCCTGCATAATGCAGAGGAGGACTTTCAATTATCCCCACAGAAGTACTTCTACATTTGTTTTGATGAAAGCAAAGTCTAACTATTTTCTTTCTTCATTCTTTCCACATACCTCTAACCTATGGAATTCTTTACCTCCCTCTGTAACCTCCGCCACATCTCTATTATCATTTAAACACAACTTAATCAATCACTTGAGCACAATGTCTTAATCCTTATCACAGTATTATGGGTACATGTTCAATCATAGTGTTTACCACTAATACATGTATTGCCATTGCATAGTGCGTAAATGTTTTTATAAAAATATTTTTAAAAAGTAAAAATAAATGCAGTGGTCAGCGGCTGGTCACTTGGTTGGTACGTGTGTGGTGGTTTCATCTTTGAGTGTGGGAGGGTTGACATATTATTATGTTCCTATCTCTCAATGTCACATGCACAAGCCTGCACACACTTAGTGGTGAGGCTAATGATCAATCTGTGGGTTTGCAAGTGCAGATAGCAAGTGGGTTGTCATAGTTTTATTGCCCTTACTGCTAAGAAGCACTGGGCCCAGCTACTACTAGTACACCTACACGAATGAAGCACTGAAGTGCAAACCCTCGGCGCATTGTGACGCGCACGCGTAAGTAAACGCATGCGCCGTACCACTAATTGATGGGCTGGGTTTAGTTTTAGTGGTCTCTTGCCAGCTCGCGCAGAATCTGACGCGGGCTAACTACACTACTAGATAGCATGCGAGAGGCGATACACGCCCTGCATCTTCTGGTGCCTCCGAGGTATGCAGAGCACGCGGATCGATCAGACCGTGGTAAGCCCGTCCGTTGTGTATTTGCATATTGGCTTTTTTCGCGCTCTAGCTTTGCAACGGAGCAGTTTCAGAGAAAACCGTTCGAAATTTCTGACCTTCGTTGCCCGTTAAGTAGGTCGTATCCTTTGTGAGACGAACAAACAGCCGAGAAGTGAGATTGAGAGTAACAGACACACACACACACACACAGACAGACCCACACTAAAGTGCAAACCATCGGCGAACTGGGCATGCGCAGTACCGCTAATTTGATGGGCTGGGCTGCTATTAGTTTGTAGTATATATACTCGTGGTCTCCCGCTAGTAGCGTCTGACACGGGCTAGCTACAGTTCGATACACGCCCTTCAATCGTTGTGACTCCTCGTGCCTTCAAGATACACAGAGCAAGCGGACCCGAGCCTGTTCAAAATATAAGCGCATGCGCATTTTCCGCAGCGATAAAAATGGCCGACTAGCATTAGCCGTACAATGGCGGAAGCGCTCTAGCTTTGCAACGAAGCATTTTCAGAGAAAACCGTTGGAGAATTCTGACCTTCATTGCCCGTTAAGTAGGTCGCATCGTTTGTGAGACGAACAGACATTCGAGAAGTGCCCATGAAGGTGAGCGCTAACATGAGTGTGTGTGCTCAGTCCATGCACTATATTGTGCGCTTGGGTGGCATGCTGGAGTCGGTATCCGACACCAGTCATGGCGGTCCACTCTTTGCTGCCAATCGTACCTGAGGTCAACACTGGTCACACTATGCAGTGGACACCGAAGGTGATATCATGGATGGGAGGGCGGGTTGGAGAAAGCTTTGTTTGCTTGGTCTCGTTTGCTTCAACTGACCAGAGATGCCTAGGTTACGCTTACCATGACGT